AGGGGGAGGGAGAGGATGGGGGGGGAGGGAGGAAGGTGGGGACGGAGGCCCAGAAGAGGGAGAGATGGAAGGGAGTAGAGGTCCAGAGGACACAGAGACTAAGGACCTAGGGAAGGACAGTGAGGGAAGGACAGAGAGAGAGCCAGGAAGAATGTGAGAGTCTGAGACAGAAGGATGGAGAGAGAGATGGAGTTAGAAACGGAAAGAGGAAGCAAGAAAGGAAGAGACCCAGACCCGCATGAGATAGTGATGGGGACAGAAAGTAGCCCGGATTCATGGAGGTTAAGAGGGTCCAGAGGCAGCCGCCCACCAGGAGTGTTGAGGGCCAGGGTGGGGGCACTCACGTCAGTTCCTGGGTGACCTGGGAGCTGAGTAGCTCCTCCTGCACCTGTTCAGACAGCGTCTGCACCCAGCGCAGGTAATCCCAGAGGCGGCCCAGCGCCAGCTCCCAGGGCTGGCTGGCTAACTGGCCCACCTGCCACCTGGCCTGCTCTGGCTCTGGCTCCAACTCTGCCTCCGCTTTGGCCCGGCATCCTGTGCAGAGCAAGTTAAAGGCCACATCAGGGTCCTTCTGCTCCGTCCAGGCACATAGTACCTGGTACAGAGTAGGTGCTCCTCAGATGCTCCTGGGCTTCTTTGGTGCCACGGTGGGCAGAGAGGGAATGGAGTCTGTTTAATCACTTGACAAGCATTTATTGAGTGTCTTCGTGTGCCCCACGGAGGGCTATGCTGGGGCGATGGAGAGTAAAAATGATCACAGCTGACACTTGTCTAGTACTCACTAACTACCTGACAACAATGCATTGGAAACTGTTATTAACTCCCATTTTAAGGATGGGGAAAACCAAGGCCCAGAGAGAGTAAACAGATGCCCAGAGACAGTGAATGTCAGCAAGACCTCAGACCTGGGTGTCCCCCTCAAGGTGTAGATAGACCAGCAGAAGATGGGACCTAGGGCCTGAATGAAGCCAAGAGGAGGCGGTGAGGATGAGAGGGGGAGGAGCAGGAAGCCTGAGCAAGGTACCTGCCAGGAATATGACCACCAATACAGCCCAGAGAACCTTCATCTTCCCGCCTGTGA